CACCCGTCATTCTTAATAAACTTTACTATAATTACCCTGGCCAAGTAACTTATTATAACGTTATTAAGCACTCACCAACTCTCCCAAGGACTCATATAATATGGTAACAATAGCAATAGTTTTTGTTTAATTTATTAATTTATTTCTTACTAAAAAACTGGTGTTATTATCAGAAAAAGTTTAATCAACATATTATTCTTAAATCAACCAATCAACAATGAGCATAATTATATATGTTGATCACATATAGGTGGTCAAATTATCAATTTAATAGTAAACTTATCTCAACTTTGAATCATTACTACTTTATTAAAAATTGTTTTACAAAAAATCTGAAAACATAATTTTGTTCAGCTTGAATAATTTTATTATACTGAAATTAAATTTTGTGTCTATTTTTTTTTGAGCAAGAAGTAGTGATTTGAATTTTATCAAGTTTAGTTGTTGAAATTAAGTTGTACATATTGTATTTTATTATAAATACGTTATTTTATTGTCACGAATCATTGTGAAACTGAAATTTATATAATATGTTGATTGTAAGGTCGGGATTAGAGTTAAAGATTAGAGCAAAGTTAAGAGTATATGTGAAATTATCTCACTGACAATTTTTATTAGTGCTCCAAGCTAGATTTAGATATTTCTTCGTATTTTTGCATTTTTTATTTCTTTATTTTGTTGGACTGATCATTCTTATTGGTTTGTGCTATCCGACATGTGATAATTTGCGACATCATTATTGGTTGGTTTCACAATTATCCAATTTCACAATGATTCGCGACATTTATAAATTTTCTACCGAGTTTAAAGATCACGCGCTATAATTAGAATCATGTAATCTGTGTTTGCATATAAAATCAGATCTCTTATCAGAAAACAGAAAAAATCAAATATAACATGCATTTAGAGAAAAATTGCATTTAGGAAGGTTGCATTTAGAGAAATCTAACTGTATATTAAAATATTAATAAATTTATTAAATACTTAATAAATCGTAATGAACATATTAATAGATTTTACCAAATAAAATTAGGTATCTGAATATTAACTTGTATTATTGGACAATCTTTTAATTAATTACAACATATAAAAATTGACTTGATTAATTCACAGATTTCATTATATTGAAATTCTTTAACAGATTTATAAATCTTTAATTAATCTTCAATTTATTACAGTTCCCGGCGAAAGTAATGGCATGGCAATGTGATTTTTTGAAACAAATTTAATAAGTAACTATTGGAAAATTTACTTTTGAAATGTCTCTGACATTATACCCTCAAAAAATCAAGACTTAAAATGCTCTCTTTCTGTGCCAATCCAGGCTTGAATGCGGATTGAAATGCTAGAAACAGTATATATATGCGTATATAGTAACTTTTGTCTCTCATGCTCACTATTTTTAATTATATGGTAAAAATTTACTTTCGCCGGGGACATTTTTCTATAATTATACGTATTTATCACATTTTTTTTAATGCCAGGATTCCATTGCAAATCGGTCGTTTCAAAAAATAGCATTGGCAACGGGATAATCCCAGGTTAAAATTTTTGAATTGGGGTGACCCAATTCGCATTGGAGATTGAGATGGGATAATTTTTACAATTATAGGGATGTCGTTGATGGAAAATGCAACTGATGTGGAACTTTAAACCTTTTAATCTAAAATTCAGAGATACTATCGCTATGTATTAGAAATCAAAGATTATTTTTCGTAATAATGATAATGATAATGATAATGATAATTTACATTATTTTTTCTCAGTTCCTAGATAATAATAATAGTGTATATAAAATCTGTTTTTTTTTAAAAAAAATCGAATAAGAATAATAGTAACGATATTATAAATGTCTCTTTGAAATGATGATTTGATGAAGAAATGATGAAAATGATATTGAATAAATAAAGTCCAATTTTGAAAGATAAAAAATATAAAAATAAAAAATTTAGGCTAAGCTAACTAAACCAGACTAAGCTAAACCAAACTAAACTAAACTAAACTAAACTAAACTGAACTAAACTAAACTAATCTAAACTAGCAAAACGAAAAAAATCACAATTCAACCAATCTTTATATATAATAATTGCCAAGAATAATTCTTTTATTTACCTAATTCATATATACGTGTATATATATATATATAATTAATAAAAAAGATGACAGATACTAAAAACTAAAAGAATCAATTATGATTGCTTATGTTTTTTCTTATTGGGTTCTTCACTACCGTTATTGTTATCATCAGTCGGTGGAGGTCTCGTTTTAGCTAAATTACCGGAATTATCGTGTTTTGGTAAGGGGTTTGATAACGGGGATGGTTGATACCCGGCTATATTCCGTGGTGGCCAAGTAAATGCACCGGGTTGTGCGCTGGTCGGTGTATTATTATAGGTTAGCGGACTTGGTAGCTCTGCTGATTTATAAAATTCAGAGAAGAAGGTTGATGGGGATGGTAAATTTTGCGCGAATTGTTGTGGTAGTGCTGATGTTGGTCCTGGATCTGATGTCGAAGGTGTTGGTCTTAGTGAACTTGGCTATTGTTACATTAAGAATCGATTGATTAATCCGAAATTGATTATTTAATTGTTAGAGTTGACGAATTAATTAAATGTGACTAAAAAAAGTTAACTTACCGGTTGAGATGATTGAATTGGTTGTTGAGATTCCGATGGACTTTCTTCTTCATGATCCGAAGATCCATCTTGTTGTTGAGCAGTCGATTGTAAGGACTGTGGGTGTGATGGTTGATGCTGTTGTTGATTAGATGATTGTTGATTTGGTTGTGGATGATGATTGGCTTGTTGCTGAGCAGCAGCAGCGATATTAGTTTCTTTTGACGTTTCAGTGGGAATCGTCACTCGAAGCTTTGGTTTCTTTGCGGTTGGTGATACAATTGGAGGTGATAATAAATCACCGTTATTGGTACCATTCGTGTTATTATTTACATTCGATAATGACGATGATGATGGATTGGCTTCAATCTGAGCCATCGGCGCAGGACTCTGAGTTATTGATAAATTAGGTGGGGCAATTGACGTCGTCATAGATAACTGCGGAAGATTAGATGCAGAATTAGGTGGTGGCGGTGGCTGTGATGGCTGTTGTTGCTGATGAACTGGAGTCATCATTGGCATCGACGACATTTGCATATTAACCATTGGCATCGGCATCGCTGCCATCGATTGATGGTGCATCGTTTGAGTGACTTGCGTCTGGGTTACCTGTGGATAAAATTGGTGGGGCTATTTATTGGTAAATAGTAACACACAAAATATTAAACGAAGGTTGGTCGGGGGAAAAAACTAAGCTATACACTATCTATATAAATATAAAAGAAGAGTTGGGATATGCAATAATTGTTTCTATTCTATTATTATTATTTTCTTTACTAGTTCAGATTATCGACAAATATATGTATATCAAAGACATCTAAATGACTGAATTCATTTACCTGCTGCACCATATACTGTTGTTGTGGTGGGTACATGCTATAGCTAGCATTACTCATCGGGTATGATGTGGCCGATATTGGTGTGTGGTAGGTTTGTGTGGGATTGGTGTTTGCTTGCGGCGGGGTTGGTGATAATTGTGATGAAATTGAGTATCGATGCTGTTTTGATTTTTAATGTGCGAACATTATAAGTAATCAACGATTTGGTTTTTTTTTTACATATGCAATGGTAAAAAGTTTAAAAAATTACCGTTTTTTGATCAGTAGTTGGACTAATGGCATCGAATCCTGGTGGTGGCATATCATCTTCGTCGCCATTATCTGTTGTATTCGCAAACTAATAATTTTTTAAGCATGAGGGTTAAGTTATTTTTCTGGATATTTCTTCTACGCATTAATAATTTTATTCTTTACACATACGTCGTGATTTCCTTTACTTTCGTGTGGCTCACTGTACTATTAATTATCAAAAAAAAAAGGTTGTCAAGTATTTAGACTTTTGATGAAAAATATTTACACAAAAAACCTTCAATTTCACACCAAAAACCTCGCCAAAAACACACCTCTGTATACTTTAACAGAATCTTGTCGATGTCGGTGCTCGCGTACTGTACCAGCTTGTTATTCGAGTTGAATATTATTAGCGCTATTTCGCAGTCACATAATACACTGAGTTCATATGCTTTTTTCATGAGGCCGTATTTTCTTTTTAGAAATGTCACCTGCGTGAATGAAGAATAATTGTGAACGAAAAAAAAATGTGGGGGTTATTAGTGAGATAGTGCGTAAGAATGAGGGTAAGGGGGAAAGTATGTGGCGTTAGGAATCAATGAATAAATCAAGGTTGAAATTCATAATTCGTGGTTGCCGTGTTTTTCCCACCTCAACTAAAACCAACAATATTAATTATATTTCATTACTTGTCGATTCCTTTCGTCTTTTATGGGTTTAATCTGAATCTTTTTACGACCCATATTTTAATATATTAGTTTGGATTTACTATGTACAAGAATCTTTGCTTTACGTTCAGTATTTTCTCTTTTTTTTTTTTAAGAGTACTCGGTCGTCTATTAAAATAGGTTTGTTGGAATAATAGTAGGAATAATAAAGTATAATTTCGGGAAAACGTGCAAATGTATCTTTTTTATAAGAGTCTGAGAATGCAAGACGACGGAACAAAACAAAAAAAACCTCCAACTGAATTCTCACACGAACACACTTTTGATGTCAAATGTGAAAAAGAAAACACAGGGAGGTCTTTTGGATGTATGCAAAATGTTGAAAAGGAATCACAGGGGAGGAGGAAGGCACAGCAAAATGACAGGCAGAAACCGAGAAAAGTATGGTTAGAAAAAAATGAAAAGGTCGTTGTTGTTGAACGATGACAACAATACTATTTGTTTGTACATAGTTTTTTTAAACTATATTCAATATGATGTGAAGTTATATTTATTATATTATTTATGATGTATATGATATGTAGCTATTTTTAGTCCAAGTTTTATTATTAGTCGATTTCACACACAAATGTTTTATTTTTAGCAACATTTCTAAATATAAAAGAAAGTTTTTTCCGGTGACATGACACAAACGTGATAGACGATACACCAAATTATTTATGTAGTATTGTGTACGTTTTGAACCTGGGTACATATACTAAAATAGTATTCTTCAAATGATACAAATGATAATCTCCTCTCCTTTCCTGATGACCTCTCCCTTTGATCCTTGATCTTGTGGAATAATCATCACTTTTCTGGTGAAGAAACGAATTCTGTAGCTGAATCTATTGCATCAGAACTAAACTTTCATACCTTGAAAGCTTCAATCCCCAAACTTGCAAAAAGAAATTTAATCTTGAAGGATTAGCAATATCAGCAACTAGGATAAGAAAGCAAAAAAGATTTTTCTATGATGAACAAAGAAAAGCAAGCAAACAATCGGTATCGTAACCAACTGTCAAAGATTTTCACGCATATATATATATATATGTAAATTTCCAATATTCGAATCCGAATTATCCAGAAAACGGAGTTTGTTTTATATAGATTTGAAAAAACAAAGAAAATCCTACATTCTTTTGTAAAAAAAGTCTCGATGATGTGTGATGATTTTATCTTAAAAGAGTTGTAACCATTCTTCAAATGCTTGCTTAAAATTAACTGATCGAGTAACATCGCTTTACGATACCATTCCAATGCCTTATTTTCCAAGAAAAATTAACCATGTGAGTTTTCCCTTCAGATATCATTTAACGGTCTTTTCTTCATTTCGATCTCGTGTTTATAAACCCGCAGTTTAAGAAACCACTAAAATTCGCAACATATTCCGATATTAAATCGAGCTACACGCCTTGCTTTTTTTTTTTGTTTTAATCGTACCAAATTCGATAGTTCTTCATATTTTGAAACCATAATATTTGAAAACTTGTTAATTCGGCAATTCTTGTTTACTTAAGATTATAGACAATGAGTAATTAAAATAGGTTTGGCTCAATTTAATTTATCGTATTCATTTACTGTAGGGGATCATGATGAAAAACGGATTATGGTGAAAATTTGCAATATCTATTATAATAAACTGAATAACAATTATACTCATAAATTTACATAGTATATAGCAATATAAATATTATTGCAAAATTAATTTAAGTTATATATTTTATGCATTTATCATTATTTTCAAAATATTGCTCTTTTATTATAAGAAATTATCGATAATTCTGGCCAAATGATCTCATGATCTGCACAATTTTGGCCAAAATTTTCACCATAATCCGTTTTTCATCATGATCCCCCATATTTGATTAAGCCACTGATCGATTAGCATCATCATCACATCGCGCAAACGCATCATCCTGTCGTACAAACAAAAAAAATGGCAAGTATTGAAGAAATCAGACAAGAGGTGGAGGTGGCAAAGGAGCAGCTAGTGAAGGCGGAGGCTGCGTTAGAGAAGTTCAACGAGGGGGAAGACGAGGGACTATTATTGAAGAAATTGAGGAGACATAGGAAAGAACTAGATGAAGAAGATAAACAGGAGGACTGGGAGAAACAAGTGCGTTTGTTACAGGACAGGCTCACTGCTGCTGCAGCTCAACCAGGTAACGACTTTGTGACTCGGGCATTGGGGACATAGAGTAGTATGTACATAGGGTAGAGTAGACATAGTGAGGAGCGTAGAGTAAGAGCATAGCAAATGCAATACATTCCAATATCTTTTTAAACGGAAATTAGCTAAAGAATTGTTTGTGATTCCTTTCTATCTAATCCATCTACCTTTTTTCATTAATAGCTACTCCGGTACCAGACTCAATGGACATGACCTTGAAACGAAAGCATTATGCTCCCACATATCTGAATGGTGAAGAGACTAAAGAAAATTACACCTTCCAGTTACTGCAGATCTAAACAAAATGATCCAGAACTCAGTGGCATAATCCTTAATTATCGCACAGAAAGCCCTGACATTCCGTTGTCATTATACCATTCTGTGTTTGCAACTTTCAAAGATGATTTTTCCAGTCTGAAAGCTGAGGCGGGTGACTTTGAATCACTTGGAAAACTTGTATTAGACATGCAAGAGTTTTATAACGTTGAAGATGATCGGCTTGCCAAATTCACTTCGTGGACTTCAAAATATTTTAATTGTTCTGTTGATACGTTACCACTTGGAGGACATAATGAGGCTGATTTGCATATCATTTAATGTCAATCATGTTAAACATCTGCTGTTATTAGGGGAAATAAAAAATGAACTCAGAGAAGGTGATGGATGTCCTTACAGACAAGCTTGTGCATCATATGCTAGATTTATTAGTCAGAAAAGCTCTCCATATTGTTATAATCTCCATTTGACATTCTTGATTTATCTGGCAGAACCATATATAAGGATTGCTGGGACTGTCTGATGAAAAATGTGTGGTAAAATTATTCACATCTCTGATTTCCTAGATGCAGTTAAGATTTGATAATGAATTACTATTCACAACTGCAAATACATTTCGATTGCTGAAAGAAAGCCTGGAAAGTCTGAAAGATTATTATAACAAGTTATATTTACCAACTAAAATTAATGTTAATTTATCAAGATGAGAAGTATATTCATATTCCAATTCTTTCAAAAATGAGAATGGCTATGAGTTTCAGTTTGTGTACAAAAAAAAATTGGTTGATGATAAATTGTTTTTCATTGTGCAAGAATTAATTAATTAACAGCTACTTTTTGTAAAATTTGTTAGAAGATATGGTATTGATGTTCATAGGAACTGTGTTAAAGCCAATATTATATCAAAACTTATAACAGTTGAAAAACTGATAGGTAGTTGGTTTATGATAATGATGGAATATCTTTTAAGTAAGTATTTCACATATATGTATGATATTCTTCAGGAAGATTATTAACATATATTATTTCTTACTTAAAAAGTGATTGAAGTTATTAATGAATTGTACAAGATAAATTATGTTTATGATGATTTTTAGATATCAAATCTTATGATTTTGAAAGATGAAAAGCAGATTATGATAGTTAATTTTGACTGGGTTAGAGAGGACAGATTAGCAAATATTCATATTTTATAAACTGATTTGATTTATTAGACTGGTATCCAGATATAAAAGAGAGTGAAAAAATTAAAAAAGCTTATAATATTCATTTTATTACACAATTTATTAAAAAAATTTTTAATATTTTTTGTAATTTTTTTTATTATATCATCTGACTTGCTTTGTAAATAAATATTTGTTCAGATAAAAAATATATATAGCTTGCTTTATATTGATTGTTAATTTAGAGCAGACAGATATCATATAAGATGATTTCAGGAGTGCCATAAATAAAAAATTAAAATATATAATTGGTGCTTGTTATTGTTTTTACTTGTGATTAATTAATTTTTACTAAATGTTAATTTGTATTTAATTATTTCAATTTTTTTGCTGTCATATATTTTATACTAATATGTTGAATTTATTTTTCTTATCTATACAGTGTATTCATGTTTGCATTAATATGACATATTATAATAATACAAGTTGCTGCCAATACTATCATGAATAACAAAATCACAAAAAATATATAATATATATAGGATTATCTGTATATAAAAAATAGTGAATATAATAGTTTAACTAAATATGAAAAAGTTATACACTTTTTAAAAATAGATTGCAATTGTAATTGCTCAAAGGAATTTCAAAAGAAAGATTTGTTGAACTACATGAAATATTCCAAGCTCTTTCTAAATTTGAACAAGATATATTTGATCTGCTGAAAGTAATAAATAGTGAATCAATAAATATCAGCAGATATTTTAAAAGAAAAACACGTACTAATAAGAGAACTTTTTATTATTGAAATTGTAATACAATCAAATTTCTTTATAGTCATACTCATTTATAGTCATATCTCTCTATAATTATTATATTTTGCTTTTTTATTTACATATAAATATAGTAAAAAAATCTCTTTATAATCACATTTTCTTTATAGTTACCAAATTTTGCTTTCCTAAAGATAATGACTATAGAGAGATTTGATTGTACATCTCTTTATTAGAAAATATATTTCAATATATTAAAAATTGATCACACTTATTTGAAAAATATCAGAAATCATCTGGTGACAAATAATATAATATCACATATTTATAATAATATAAAAAGAGTACTATGATGAAAAAATAAAATAATTATTAATATAATTGTTGTTATAGTCATAAAGAATTTTCTTAAAAACTATGCTAAAATTTATAAATTACTAAGTTCTGGTAAAAATATTAATCAAATTACTCAATTACTTATATTTTTGTCAATTGAAATAAGTTATAAATTAATTTATTGTGATTTTATTACAGGTTTTAAAAATAATAGCATGTTGAAATTATTAAAATATAATATATTTCACAAGTTATGACATTAATTAATATCTTATATTCAAATCATGAGTTCAAGAACAGATTTATATAATACTATTACAATTATGTTATAAAAATTGTTAATTTCATAATTTGTAAAATTTTACGAAATTATGAAAATCATATAAAGAACTTAGAACATTTTATAATTACATTGTATATTATTAATTATTATATTCATATACTTTCACTTTGTACTCTTATTATTTTTTATACTTTCTATACTTTTTATATTTTTATACTTTTTATATCTTTTATACTATTGTATAACAAACTTTGATTAAATAATTTACTGAATTATTTACACTTAATATTATTGGATTATAATTATCTTATATCTTATTGGAAGAATCTAATCATGTAAGATGAGCAAATAAACAAGTGAGCGAATAAACAAATAAGTAAATGAATAAGTAAATGAGTGAATGAATAAATAAATATTGAATCAATAGAATTGAAGTGAACTAGTGAATATAAATTCATATAGCTGATGAATTATAATTTGAATTTGTATAAAAGCAATATGTATTATAGTTATTAGAATTAGATTAGAACAAGTTTTTTAATAGTAATATTCTTAATTATTATCTTATAGCTAGTTATTATATAGTTTTGATCATTTAAATAAGCAAAGTTTGCACTTTATATAGTTAAGCGCAAACTTCTCTTTACATCCCTTTGACAAAGTATTCTTATTTCTTGTATAATCACTTTAGTACTATTGTTATAAGTGTTATACAAATCTTGAATTAATATTATAGTAGTTTAAACAAGATTGCTAGAAAAGCTATAAAAGTTATCATCTTAATACTAGGTTATCTAAATATATTTGTGATGAAACTTATTGAATATTATATTAAATAAAGAAATTTTTATTATAATTCATAAATTTATCTTTGAGATTATATTTGCTGATAATATATTATTCATAAACTTATTTTCAATATTGTATTGCTAATAATATATTATTTATCTTTAATTTCATATTGCTAATAATATGAATATTATAATTTCTATAACTTTGACTCTGAGATTTTGAGAACTCTTTTTAGCAGTTCAGATTATTGTGTTTAAAAGAATACAACTGTTACCAATCTTTAAGTGATTCTATCATTAGTATTTTTAGTACTTATTTATATTTAGTCTAATAGTTATAAAGTATTATTAATACTTTGAATTATCATTAAGACATTAAAAGTTCTCTTTGAATATTTCTTAAATTTTATAAATACCTTTAAGTATTTTGAAAGTTAACCAAAATAATATCACAAGTCCTGAACTCTGGTAAATAATCTTATAATATGTGTATTTAATTAATATCTCTGATAATTTCTTGATTATACTAACTTTAATCTAGTTGTGTTAGAATTAGTACACAGTGTAACTTCTTCTATTCTATTAAAATAGAATAGGATATCACTACTACTAATAAATATCTTTCTTTATATTTACTTAGTATGTAAATAGTGTTATACTTGAAAATTTTTATAATTTCATAATTTATATAATTACTATAATTTCATAATTTATATAATTTTTATAATTTCATAATTCTATTAAAAATATCAAAAATATTAATATATTTAATATATACAAAATATTCAATATATTTAATATATTACATTTATTATTATTTATTAGTAAAAAATAATTATTATAAATAAAGTATAATTGAAGCTTTAAAAAAGATATCAATTAATCAATACAAAATCAAATCAGTTAATAAACTATTTCTTGTTTATTATTTAATGAAATTGTATATTAATTAATTGATTTTATAATTAATATTGTTATAATATTTATCTTTATTATGTATTACTGGATGACTCAACCAGATTACTATAAAATATCAGTACTATATTTACACACTAAGTAAATATAAAGGAAGATATTTATTAGTAATAATAATCCTATTTTATTATTAAAATAGAAAAAATCACATTACTGTCATGAGTCCTGAATTCAGATAGGTAATTTCATGATATAGTTGTTCAATCAACATCTATTTCAATAAGTTAATAATTTAATTTAATTGCTTTAAAATCATGAAACTATGCAGCTTCTTCTATTCTATTAATCTAGAATAGATAACAATACTACTAATAAATATCTTCTTTATATTTATTTAGTATAATAACAGTTCTATAGTAATACAGTACTAATATTCTATAGCAATCTGATTGAGTATCTAGTAGTATATAAGATAAGTATTATAATAAGATTAATAATTATAAAATCAATTAATGTATAATTTTATTAAACAATAAACAAGAAGCAATTTATTGACTAGCTAGATTTTGTATTGATCAATTAATATCTTTTTCAAAGCTTTAATTATGTTTTATTTATATAAAATAATTTATAATTAAGTTATTACAATATGAAATATATTATATATGTTAGATAAATATGATATAGTGAATAATATTGATATATCTAAGAACTCTGCTATCTCTGCAATCTCTGTATTCTATATATATAGATCACATGACTAAATTTAAAAAATTAAGAATAATTTTGAACCATAACACCACATATTAATTCTAATATAACTGGATTAAAGTTAATAAAAAATTGAGAAATTACAATAGATATTAATTGAATATTCATGTCACAAGATTACCTATCTAAATTCAGAACTCATGATAATACATATAGTATTTCAAACTCTTTTATTAAGATAAAATTAAGAATAACAACAATTTTTATTTACTCAAAATTTTTGTATAAGAAGAATAACAATAAAAGAAGAATAATTATTCAAAATAATAATAAAAATAAAAATAAATTAATGAAATAAAAATAAAATAATTGTTCTTTTTATAAGAAAAATATAATAGAAGTTGAATTAATAATAATTAAATTTTATAATCTGATTTATTAATTTAATACTAATATTTAATACCAATAATATAATTATAAATATTAAAAAAATTTATATAAAATAATATAACTAATAAAAATAATATTTCATATTATAAATAAAGAATAAATTTCTAAAATTTTAATAAAATTTCAAGAAAATTTTAATTAAAATAATTTGATTATTATTATTTTTGTATTATATATTTTATAATTTATTATAAAATATTAATATAAAATAGTAATAATAAAAATATAAAGAAAATTTTTTAATAAAATTATTTTAAATTTTTAAATTTTATAATAAATAAATCTTTAAAGTATATTTATTTAAAATTAATTTTTATAATAAAAAATCTTTTGTTATATAAATTAAAAATTAAAGAGCTAAAAAAATATTTTTTTATTTTAATTAAAATAAATTAAAATTATATTAATTAAAAATATTTTTTAAGTTTATATAACTATTTGAATATTTATTTTAATTATTTTATATAAATTTGTAATTTTAATTATAATCTATAATTTTATTTAGAACTTTTTTTAAATATTTACTTGAACTTAAACTGGATTTTTGATTAAATTCAAAATTCGAACTAAATTTAAATCAAATTTTTAATTGGATTTGAATTTTTGAATTAAACTTTTATTAAAATTTTAATATAATTATTAAATTTCAATATAATTTATTTTAATTGATTAAATTTTCATTAATAATTAAAGAATTTAATCTATCTTTATATAATTAATTTTTTAAACTAGTAATATTTTTATTATATTTATATTAATGAATTATAAATACTAAAAAATAAAAAAAGTAATTTAAAATGAAATAAAAACTTACAAAAATTCAGGTACAAGTTTTTTATACTTAATTCTTAAATATTTATTTTTGCAAATACTTATTAAATAAAATATTAACTAAAATATTTATTCTAGAAAATTAATTTGAGTTTTATTATAAAAAGAAAAAAATACTTCTATTTGCTCAATTATTTACAAATAAAAAATTAATAGAAGCTAAAAAATTAACAAAAAAGCAAAAATAATAATAATAATAATTCAAAAATAAATTACATATATAAGAATAAAAAAATAAGTACAAAAAAGAAAAATAAAAATGAATATTAATATATAAAATAATTCAAAAAATAACTAGAACAATTCAAAAAAAACCAGAACAATCTAAAAAATAATCAAAAAGATTCAAAAAATAAAAAATTTTATAAATTAAAAAATATTATTTCAGAGTAAAAATTTAAAATATTTATTAAAATATTTTTTTTATTTTCTTAAAATTAGTATTTTTAATATAATATACAAAATAATTATTTTTTATTACTTGTTATATTATTATAATTTTTATTAAATTTATATAAAATTAGTTTTTTAATTATAATAAATATATTAATATTTGTATTATTTATAAAAAGTTTTTTCTAATTAGATTTTATTTTATATAGAGTTTTTTTAAAAATATATATATTTTATAATAAAATGTGAAAAAATTTAAAATTGATCAAAATTTTATTAATATAACTAGATTATATGTATTATAGCAACTTTTTTATTTTTTATATGATTGAAAATTAATTTGAAGTTATAATTAATATTAATTATTATATTGATATTGTGATTTAATTATAATAAAAACAGAAATAAAATAATTCAAATATAAAATTATTTAAGTATTATTTTGCATATTATAATTATTGCTATTTAATTAGTGTTCAAGATTAATTTTTAAAATTTTTTAACTTCTTTTTATTTGACTTGTTTCGAATAATTATTAGCCAAATATTTTAATTCTATTTTAATTATAAATATATACAATAAAGAACTTTTAACTTTAACTTTTATTTTTCAGTTTAACTTATTTTTCATATTATTTATTATATTCACTCGCTTATATTTGATAAGATTTGAATTTTTGCTAATTTATCTTTTTAAAAATTGGCTTCATCAAATTTTTCAATGTGACAAAAAAGAATATTCTTCATCTCAATAGTAGTCAAGCTAATTCTTTTGGTTAGGTGAGAACCAGAAATTACGTGATTTATTAAAGATATTATAATTGTGGTATTATATAATTTCGATCACCGAAGATAGTTTTCTCTTAAAAAATAATACGTGATTTTTGGCCCTCCCCTTATTTCTTAGTAAGTTTTATAACTTGATAAATTTCATATTTGGCTTCTTTCAAGGAAGTTAAATTTCTGAAAAGTTCATATTTACCCATAGTCTTCCAGTTCTTAAGAAGTAAGTTTCTTTGGCTTTTATATTTATCATCAAATTAAGAGATGAAGTTCACAGATATTCTTTGTCAGGAAATGGTTTATCAAGAAAAAACTATCTTTTGCCATTAATAAATTCATCAACATGCAGCAATCTTGACTTCATTATTAGCTTTTCGGTGATATCAATACGTACGTATTCTTTTTCGGTAACTAATCGTCTCTATCTGAATTGAGTAATGTCCTCCTTCCACTTTTATACTTTTCTTATATAATGTTTACTATTTAACTAGTTAATATGAAAAGCGCCTGTTTTATTGATTCAATTTGTGCTTTTAATTATTGTTTCAGTATATTATTATTTTTAGGTCAGAGTAATTAGGAAGAAAATTATTTTAATAAAAGAGTGGTAAAACCCTCATTTCCTATTCTTGGTTAATTACTTCGTTAGCATCTGCTTCTTGCTGAGCAATTGTTATATTGGTGGGAATAAGGGCAATTTTTTTCTTTTCCTAAACTTTTTCCAAGCCAAATACTCACCAACAATTCCAATAACTCCGACCAGAGAAAAGCTGACTATCAGGCAGAAGTATCCGAGGATTAGCTACTGTTGTCGTCACAGTTGTTCCTCGTATAGGTCTTGTTGGTCGTCCTGTTGCTATTCCTGTTGTTGTTGCCGGTATTCCTCTTTAATTTTGACTTGTTGTTTCTCAGGATAGCTATTATCCAATAATTTCCGGGCTTGTACCATAACGAACTGCTTTATCTAAACAAGAATAGGATACAGTTTTCCCCCAAGACTAGTACTAAAAACATGTGTTGTGCCAAAAAAATTCTGAACTGCACGGAATGTGACCACAGTATCATAATGAGAAGAGAGATGCTATTTCTTCAATAATGTCTTCCATCTTTGCATTAGAGATAGTAACTTTGTCATCTAATAACGTTTTTCTCCTCTGTTTGTTTTTTAATGGCATCGCTCCGAGTAGAGTTCCAACCAAAAAATAGTAACAAATTAGCCAAGCAACTACCAGAAATTCTTGCCAGTAGTGTGACTCTGACAACTACAAGCAATTCTTTCTCGGACACTTCTGCTAAACTAGTTGATTGAATTGTTGATTCCAAAAAAAAACTACCCTTACTTCCGCCAATGAATTTGTAAGAATTAACCGATATAAGGATATATGATAAGAAAATGATAAGAAATGGGTATTTTGTCACTCCTTTAAAATAATATCCCGTTAAAATTCGCCCAAGAACTTTTTTAACTTGCTAAAATAGTAAACAATATATGTAGATAAGAAAGATTACTCCGTTCAGATAGAACTGAGAAGCCAAACATGACATTTACCGAAATATCTTGTTACTGAGAAAGAGACTAGAACTTTTACTTACCTTAATTTGTGACTTTAGCTATTAGAGAACTCGAAAGAGAAATAAATAAAGAGCACACAATAAAGAATCTTTCAACTTCAACATTTTATCTTTTCAGTTTAACTTGTTTTTCATATGGTTTAACTTTTTAAGGTTTCATAAGCTATTAATCTATCTAAGGATAAATTTTCAACGTGACAAAAAGAAACCCCCTCCATCTCTTCTCAGAAGTAAGATTTTTTTTTTGACTTTCATGTTTAGTTTTTGCGATGACATTTTTGATTAAAAGCGTTGAAAGAGAATTATCAAATTAAGAGAAACCATTTTCCTGGCAAAGAATACCGTGGACCTCATCTTTTACTATCAGTAAATTCCTCACCATCCAATAAACTTACTAATTTTTACTCACTTTTATATACCTTTCTCATCTATTTATTATTTTGGCTAGTTAATAAGAAAAGAGCTTAAACTTTTATAAGCGGTTCTCGTAATAAAGATATTCTTGATATAACAACATTACAAGCTGGAGCAGAAAAATAATAATATAATGACTTGGACTTGTTTCAGAGTATTCTTTTTTAGGCGAATTATTAAGAGTAATTAATAAATGAGGATAAAAAACTCATCTTCTATTAGTAGCTAATTATTTCGTGAGCACCTGCTTCTTGCTGAGCAATTGTTTCCTTGGTATAAGTAGCACCTGCTTCTTGCTGAGCAATTGTTTCATTGGTATAAGTAGCACCTGTTTCTTGCTGATCAATTGCTTCTTGCTGAGCAATTGTTTCATTGATGTAAGTTCGTTTTCTTTTTCTAAACTTTTTCCAAGCCAAATACCCACCAAAAATACCAATAACTCCGGCCAGAGAAAGGCTGACTATCAGAGCTATTTTAGCAGAAGTGTCCGAGGAACTTGGAGAATAAGAACTGTTTGTTACTGTTGCCGTCACAGTCGTTGCTGTTGCTAAGGTTGCTGACGTTGCTGACGTTGCTGATGTCGCTGATGCTGATGTAGCTGATGTTGCTGATGCTGATGTTGTTGATGCTGATGTTGTTGATGCTGATGTTGCTGATGTTGCTGTTGATTTTGTTGGTGTTTCTCCTACTGGTGATGCTACTACATGTACTACTGATGATGTTATTATAGTTACCATGATAAACTATGTAAATATATATAGGAGTTTTTGATATGTCGTATATTTGAAGTGTCAAAAAGAAATTTGTTGATTTAATTATTTAATAAATTATTTGACTTTGAATTGTTGTGATCTCTTTTGCGTTTAGAACGTCATTTTAAACGTTTTTTTTTTTAATTAGCAAAGACAGAACAAACTTGCAACCGGATCGATATTGAATATATGTACGTATGCAAAGTGTCAGTTTAGCAGTCAATTTTGGATTTTCAAAAATGTAGTTGCTATTGTCGGTTTCCAGCTGTCATTATCTTTATAACTAAAGGCACTATGTACAGTTTACTATAATAAAAATTTGGTTTGTTAAAAAAACTATGCGTATTATATGGGAAATACGTACTTTATTACAGTCAAGGTTGGTTCTAATGATGCCTTTTTATAACGATACTTTTTATCTTGTGTAACCATGTCAATTATTATAATGACACTTTTTTGTATCATTTTGACTGTATAAAGATAACGAGAATAAAAGATTTTGGTTCTTTTGTAATCTGTATCGGTATGTCCTCAAAAGTCTAGTATCAACTTTGAGTATCTAGGAGTTTGATTTTATATACGAATAGCTGTGTGGTCAAGAGTTATAATTAGCATTGATTATTATGTTGGCGTTGTTATGATGAGAGAAGAAAGACCCCAATATAAAGCCGTTCAGATAATTTTTTTTTTGCTTTATTGTAATTGTTAATATATTTAGTTAACTGATTAGTTTGGTTGATATTTTGGTTCTCAAGGTCTCGTAGAAACTAATTTAATGGTAGTTGGGCAGAATTAGAGCTATCGCTATGGAATTTATAGATGTTGCACGTGTATACGTAAGTCGTGTTACACCCAATTTTTGTATTTTTGGGATGATATTTTACTATGACGTTACAATGCCTATTTTATTACGATTCTCTTTATTTATTACAAAATGCCAAACAATATATTTTTCTTTTTTCTATTTCTTTTATTCTGATACTATTTATTCTCGCTTCCCCTCCTCTAACTCACTTTGTTCTTTTATACAAAATTCGCTTTCGCCGCCCGTTACACCATTAGATCTTCTACAAAAATGGATTCTTCGTCAGGTGATTTTGTCACGAGAAGATCTCACGTGAGATCACTAGGGTGTCGTTATGCCTAACAGTATATTGCACCATTTCGTCTAGGCTGAGACTGTAAGATCTTCTTCCGATTCAACTTTTTCTTCAAGATTTTGCCTTCTTTCACTTCTAATTATTCTTGTTTTTTGGCTTGTTTAGAATAATGTTTGGTTGACCAGATAATTTAATATTGTGAGTAGATAATAAAGAATCTTTTAAATTCAACTTTTTATCTTTCAACTTGTTTTTCATATTATATATTCACTTGCCCATATCTTGGTAAGATCTAGTTTTTTTTATCTAGGGTAAATTGTCAATGTGACAAAGAGGAATATCCTATCCGTCTCAATGATAGTCAGGCCAATTCTCTTTCTCAGTAAGTTTATTTACTCGTTTATAACTGGAAAAATGTCGTATTTGGTTTTCCAGCAAGTTCACACTTGCTCGTAGGTTCTTACCGTATATCTCCGAAAATAAGCTACCCCATTTTTCAAGCCTTAAAAACCATACAGTATAGATATATTAATAAGGTTAACACCAAAAATAAGATACCCTTAAGTTTTCAAATCTAAAATTGTGCAAAAAAGCTTATATTCGGAGATATACGGTAGTTTTCATTTTAGTCTTTCCCGATAACAATTTCTAATTAAAAGTTTTGAAAGATAATTATCAAATTAAGAGACCCCATTTTCCTGGCAAAGAATATCGCGAACCTTATCTTTTGTCATCAGTAAATTCCTCACCATCCAATTTCACTATTAGCTCTTCGGTGATATCAAGAGGGGTAACGATTACGTTGCTAATCGTTTGCCATTCAGTTCTATCTGAACTAAGTAATATTTTCCTGCTACTTTTATACGTTTCTCATTTATTTACTATTTTAGTTAATAAGAAAATGTTCATTAAAATTATACAAGTGGGTCTCGTTACAACGATATTACAAGCTGAAACAGAAAAATAATGATCATAAGAAAATGACGACTTGGGCTTGTTTCAACATATTCTTTTTTAGACGAATTGTTAAAAGCAATTAGGAAGGAAATTTATTTCCTATTATTAGTTAATAACTTGGTGAGCAGTTGCTTCTTGCTGAGCAATTATTTTATTGATGTAAGTTGTATTTCTTTTTCTAAACTTTTTCCAAGCCAAATACCCACCAAAAATACCAACAATTACAATAACTCCAGCTAGAGAAAGGCTAACTGTCAGGGCTAGCTTAGCAGAAGTATCCGAGGATTGGCTATTGTTTGTTATTGTTTCCGTCACAATTGTCATTGAACTAGGAGCGATGCTATTAGCTACTCCTGTTTCTGATATAGGTCCTGTTGGTCTTTCAGATGAAACAGATCTATTTTGTGTGACTGGTTTGCTATTGCCAGAACCACAACCAGGAACAGCAAGTGAATCTTCAACTGTGTATACGCAGGCATATGAAGTTATTGTCAAATCATATGGCCATGGTGTTGTTATTGTTGTTAATGTTGGTGTTGTTCGTACCATACTATGTAAGAGATGTCACCTGTCTCCCAGCACTAATCCTGATCTAAATTCTATATGTATTTGAAAATTTTCTGGTTGTTCTCGTTGATTTTGCTATATTTTGACTTTGAATTTGTTGAAATTATTTTAACGTTTTTTTATCAGCAAAAAAAGAACGAGCTTATTATTATTGTAGCTAGAATATTACAAGTGCATCTAATGAAAAAGTGTTGATATACCCGAATGTCAATTTAACTAACAATTTAGTTTGTATGATCGAAAATGTTATTGTCAGTTATAACTAGAAGCATTATGTGCAGTTGACTTTCTTCTTTATAATAAAAGTTTTTTTTGTCAAAAAAATTATTATAGGAAGTAATAGTTATTGTTATAGCAAAATTTTCTAGCATTTATATACGTATTATATAGGAAATACTTTATTAAAAAAACTCTAGTTGGTTATATAGAAATAGCTTTTTATATTGTGTAACCATGTTTAAAGTGATATCGATACATATTTTTTTGTGTTCGCATATCGATGTATAACGATAATAGAAAACTCGCTATTATAATGCATGTAGAGAGAAAAAGGATGAACAAAAAGCTAGCAACTCCCCTTTGTGGTCAAGAATTAATCTGGCGTTATAATTAGCATTGATTATTATTTTGAAATTGTGGTTTATTTATGATGGAAGAAGAAACAAAATTAAAAGACCTCAAATATAAAGTCATTCAGATATTTTTTTGCATTATTGTAATTTTCACTATTTGATTAGCTAGTTTTCGGTGCCAAAGCTCTCCTCGTTGAAACTAATTCAGTATATTTCACCATTTCGCCTAGGCTGAGACTGCAAGCTTCCACGAAGACTTCATTAGAATCCGATTCGACTATCCTCTTATCGAGATTTTGACTTCTTTTATTTGACTTGTTTAGGATAATTGTTACCAGATAATTAATCCTGTTTTTGCTAAACTATAATGTTATACTTTTCGACCCATCTTTTCTTGAACTAACCATACGTATTGGCATAATACCCTCTTGAACACTTGTAATAAAATACGTAGTAATTGATAACGAACAGTATGCATTCACTAATACATCATAATTGTGGCGCATTTTGACAAACGTGAAAAAAAATGAGTATATGCCACGGAAAAGTGATATGCCTCCAATATTTATGAGTGAAAAGATGCTCTATTGCGTAAGGAAGACGGGTGAAAGCCACATTAAAATAGCGGTGCTTTAATGATTGAAGTGTCCTAATGCGATAATAAAATTTTGTCTCGATTTTTTTGCAAAATGTCTACGTACTTGCATAGCATTATGTATCCTTGGGTTTCGTCCTAGCTCACAGGACTCATCAGTTGGCTTTCGCATTTGAGCAATGCCAAGACCCGAGAAATCCATTAGGTATTTCTGGAGCCAATAATAAAAAATCACAATCAACACAGGGTTGTTCGGACCGGCTGCTTGCGAAAATCCGTATCTTTAGTGAATAAAAAGCAAAGCAAAGCGAGACAACACGGCATTCATGTAATTAGTTCTAGTTTAATACTTATTACTCTTCCAATCCAAAGTCTCCGAAGATTCCCAACGTCTTCTCCAGGCTTTTCCGCAGTGTGGTGGTGGGTTGTCCAACCAGCCCGTTTCCGCCGTTCTGGATCTATTGCATAGAAAATAAACAAGTCGCGAGCGGCAAGCACAAATTTTTACCATCCGTTCTGTCCCGTTTCGTCTGTTCTAATCGTCAAGCAAGTTAAGCACAACAAGCACAGGTTTTTACCATTCGTTCCGCCTGTTTCATCCGTTCTAATCGTTAAGCAAGTTAAGCATAACAAGCATAAGTTTTTACTATCCGTTCTGTCCGTTTCGTCCATTCTGATTGTTAAGCATGTACAACAAGTTAAACACAACACATTTTATACCATAGTGTAGTGTCAATTTCTAGTTCTAGTCCTAAAATTCTGTGTGTCGCACATTCCGTGTATCGTAGGTTTTATATAAATTTCGACTAAATAAATAATTACAATATCGTACGTGTATCGATAACGATAATAGATCATTCCATAATTTACGTGGTAATTTTTTTTATCATAACATCACAAAGCCAAAATACATTGCGTGGGAAGTCAAGGCGCTATTTGCCTGGTAAGATCTGTTTTTTTTTTTTGCTAATTTACCTTTTTAAAAAGGTTGGTTTCATCTATCGTGGGTAAATTTTCAATGAATCTTTTGGTTAGGGGAGGCCAGAAATTACATGATTTATTGAAGGGGAAGAAATTTTCCAAAAATCACCTCCTTGTAGCATCATAATTGTGGCAATATATAATTTCGATCACCGGGTGTAGTTTTCTCTTACAAAATAACACATGATTTCTGGCCCTCTCCTTGACAAATGTCACATTTAGTTTCTTCCAAGGAAGCGGAATTTCTGGCAAGTTCATATTTACTTGTAGTGTCTTCCAGTTTCTTAGAAGGAATTTTTTTGGCTTTCATATTTATCATCAAATTAAGATAGTTTTTCCTTGATAAACCACTTCCTGAGAAAGAATATCTGTGGACTTCATCTTTGCCATCAGTAAATTCACCACCATGCAGCAATCTTAACTTCACTATTAACTTCCCAGTGATATCAGCTTTCCTGACAAGAGGTAACGATCAAGTTGCTAATCGTTTGCCATTCAGTTCTATTTGAACTGAGTAATATTTCCCCTCCGCTTTTATACGTTTCTCATTTATTTAATATTTTAGCAAATTAACAAGAAAATTTTTAAATTATATAAGTGGACCTCGTTAGGGCCGTGACATATATAATTTTACTATAGAGTCCACCCCACCCTCCCTCTGGGTAAGATATTTGAAGCATGTGACTTTATAAATTACATATAACATAAGACACTGTTAGACCCCCTCCCCTCACAGCCCTTATGGTGACGATATAACGATATTACAAACTGAAACAGTAAAATGATTATTTGTAAGAAAATTGATTTGATATATCGATTTCTTTTTTAGACGAATTATTAAGAGTAATTAATAAATAAGAATAAAACTCATTTCTATTATTAGTTAATTATTTCGTGAGCACCTGTTTCTTGCTGAGCAATTGTTTCATTGGTGTTAGTTAGTTTTCTTTTTCTGAATTTTTTCCAAGCCAAATACCCACCAAAAATACCAACAATTACAATAACTCCAGCCAGATAAAGGCTGATTATCAGGGCTAGTTTAGCAGAAGTATCCGAGGATTGGCTATTGTTTGTTACTGTTTCCGTCACAATTATCGTTGAAGCTCTACTAGAAGCAGATAATACCGAGGGTTTTCTTGTTGGTGTTCCTATTGATGTTCCTGTCGGTAATTCTACTGCTCCTGTTGGTGTTCCTGTTGGTACTGTCGGTACTGTTGGTGCTCCTGTTCCTGTTGGTGAATTTGAATTATTTCCATTTCCGTTGTTTGGTGAATTTGAATTGTTTCCATTCGCGTTACTTGGTGAATTTGAATTGTTTCCATTCCCGTTACTTGGTGAATTTGAATTGTTTCCATTCTCGTTGTTTGGTGAATTTGAATTGTTTCCATTCGCGTTACTTGGTGAAGTTGAGTTGCTTCCATTCGCGTTACTTGGTGAAGTTGAGTTGCTTCCATTCCCGTTATTTGATGAATTGTCTTTTTTCTTGTTTCTGGGCTTGTTCCATAATACGCAACAGAATGTTCAGATAATGATCTGCGTCGAGTGTTCGTTTTCCCCAGTGCTAATCCTGAAATTGCTATTTTAATAAAATATTTTGCCTCAAATTATTTATCAGCAAAGACAGAACGATATCGATATACACAAATGTCAATTTAACTAACAATTTAGTTTGTACGTATAATCAAAAATGTTATTGTCAGTTTATCCAGCTGTCATTATAACGAGAAGAATTATGCGTAGTTGACTTTATAATAAAAGTTTGTTTTACCAAAAAATTTATCATACGTATTACAGTACGTATATGAAAAATTACTTATCGATTAAAACCAAAGTTATGTATAACGATAATCCTTTTTTATATCTTTTTATACTTTTTTATTAACATGTTGTGTACAGGCATATCGATATTATGTACAGCTGAACGCAGGGACAATGATATTTGGCATTTCACAATACGTACGTATATCACATAACATAATTTTGGTGCATATCGGTTACGTACATAAAAAAACAATGGGGTAAACTACAGTACATGTAAACATGTTCAGTATCGGTATATAGCTCGATGATAGCATCTAAACCAGTGTAGTGACGGTTTATACAGAGTTTTTCGTCTACTTTTTTGTAATTATTACGAGATTTCAGTAGAATGGAAATATAAATCGTCATAGATGCTATCGTGGAAGTAAAAAACATGCAGTACAGAAAAAGTTAAAAGCCAAAGAACATTACAATCTACTTTACTTGATGCAACATTAAACAAAGAAGTAATAGAAGATTCTTTAGAATAATCACCTACTCGCATCTTAAAGGAGATGCAATTCCTCAGACACCAACTTTATTTTCTAGGATCCTGGATAATATCAAAGAAACTGGCATGCCAAATTTTTAAAATTTAAAATTTCTTGTCATGCACAAATATTTAAATTTATATAAAGCTTTACTATTTTAGCAAGTTAATAAAGAAAGAAAAGAGCTTGTTTTTATTAAACTCATACTTGAATATACATATAAATTTATTTAGATTGATTCAATTTGGATTTTTAATTCTTGTTATATTATTAGTTAATTATTTTGTGACTTTGCTTCTTGTTAAGCAATTGTTATAAATTTATTGGTAAAAGTAAGAATTTTTTCAGAATTTTTTTAAAGCAAAATAATCACAATATTTCTGATCAGAGAAAAATTAATTATCAAAACTAGTTTAATAAAAGTTATTAAAGCTCTATTAAAAGTAATATTATTAGTTTTAATATAGATTTTATTAATTATTTTATTACTAATATAGAATTGCAGTGATTATAATATAATATTACAATTAGAATATTTTATATATCAAAAAGTTTTGAAAGATATTAAACAGTAGTACTATAAAATATAATTTTTAACAAAGAATTAGTTGTTTAACACTTTTACTTGATAAAATTAATATTATTTAATATTAAATATATTGAAAAATATATTACTTAACATTTTAATAAATATATTTAGTATAAATAGCATTTAAATAAAATATTAAATAATATATTTTATTATTTTGTTAATTTTTTTATTATTGATTTATTTATAATTAAATTATATTTACTCTTAATTTTTTATCTTTTTTAGAGAATATAAATTTATTTAATGTTATATTAATTGGTATTCTAGTTATAAAAACCAATAAAAGTAATAATATAAGATCAAATTATTATAAATTATTTATTTTTAAATAGAATATAATATTATTGTTTTTTAAATAGTAGAGTAATAATTCAAGCTAGCCAGTAAGTACTAGCTTCAAGTTAGCTAGCCAGCTTAACTAATTAATATTTCTGAAAACTAATTCAATTGACATTATATTTATTTTTTAAATTTATAATAATATTATTATAAATATCTAAATTTAGTTTTTTATAGTAAGATAATAATATTATAATAAGTTTATTATAAATATAAAAAGTTATTTATATTGGAGAATATAATAAGGAGAGATAACTTATTTTCAAATTTATGTAATTCAGACAAAAATCTGAAAATAAAAATTAATTTTAAGAGTTAGAAATCAAAGTTATATGTAAAATAATCTTATCAATATTTTTATTTAGTACTCAAGTTATATTTTTTATCTTTATCAATATATTAAAAATAAAAAATAACTTATTTTTAGAATTAGTTTTTATATAGATCTTGAATCTAAAAAAAGTGTAATTTATTTCTAGAACTAGCTATTTTACAAATTTTAATTAAAAGAAGAAGAGCTTACTTATTTTTGCATATTATTTATTTTTAATATTAATATTTAAATATAGATATATATTATTATATATAATAATTTTAGTTAATAAAAATAGAAAAATTCTTAATATAAAAAATATAAAATTAGTTTAGCAAGCTAAGCTATCTTAAAAAATTAACCAAGTCAAGTCAAGTTTTTGTATTTGACTTGGAATACTAAAATAAAATTCTAAAAAAAAGTTTGATTTAATTCAAGTCTAATTTATTTAATTTGAGCTTAAATTAGATTCAAATTTGATCAAAAATCCAATTTAAAAATTTGAATTCAATTAAAAGTTTGGTTTAAATATTTGATAATATTTTAATTAAAATTATAGATTATAATTAAAATTACAAATTGATATAAGATAGTTAAGATTTAAAAGTTATATAAGATAAAAGAAGATATTTTAATAAAGAAAAGTAATATAATAAAGTAATAATATTTTAATAACTAGTAATTAGAATTGTATGAAAATATTATTATTTGATTTATTATATCAAATAATAATATTTTTATATAACTCTAATAGCTAGTATTATAAGTAAATTTCTGAGTAAATATTTTCATAATATAAATATTCAATTAATATTTATATAAATTGTATTTTATATACTTAATTTTATTAAAATTAATTACTATAAGATTATTATATAGTATATCTTTTTTTATTTATTAGATAAACTTTTACTATTACTAATAAATAGTATATTATAATAAGAAATAACATAAAATATCTATTTTTAAGTCATTTTCTACCAAACTTTATAACTTAAAAAAATAAAATATTGCTACCATTCTACCTTTCATCAACTATATCACATTATACTTTTAGCGCAGTAATATTCATCTAGACTTTTTCTTTTATTTTTACTTTTTTATATTTTTTATATTTTTATCCAATAGTATTAATTTATATTTTTATACATTATTATCGCATCATTTTAGTCTAGATTCCACCATCATTTAATTTACCAATCAATTCATACTATTATCACATCATTTTATATTTTTAATCTTATTAGTACTTCATTTTTATGTCTTGTTACATTAATTTAATTAGCGACACATAGATTTTACACAAACCCCTTTTTAATATTACACAATAGTTATCGTG